TTAAATATGCTCTCACAGAGGTGCAAACAACATCACTTATTGGCCTGTCTCTGGTCAGCAGCAGGGCCCTCATCTAATGTGGATTCTTCTCACAGCAGCCACCCCTATGGCCCCCTGCTACCAAAACCTTGCCACGTAAACCCACTACATCAGGACATATTGGAGGAGATGCGTTTTAGAGCTGGTTTGGAGTCCTTGCCTACTAGAAATGAAGTTAAATTCCTGGGCTGGGAAATACCAAAAACTGTAGAATAGAAGTCTTTGCATGAGTGACTGTCAGCCCTTCTTCCCGAGCAGGAGCAAGCCTCATGGGTATGCCAGTGCGAGGAAGGCACGGTACAGAAGCTGGAGCAGGATTTCAAGCTCACTTTGCAACAGCAGAGCTCCCTGGACCAGTGGGCTAGTTGGTTGGATAATGTCGTTACTCAAGTCCTGAAGCATCATGAGGGCAGTCCCAGCTTCCCAAAGGCAGCCAGGCAGTTCCTGTTGAAATGGTCTTTCTATAGGTACATTTTCTTTCTCATTTTGGGGATATTTCTGTGGCACTAGGGCATATTTACATGCCTAGAGCATGTAAATATGTTTCTTGAAACGCCGAAGCCAAGTTCTTTACACCCATGAAACTCTGGTTGACTGTTGCTCTGCCCTGGTGCAGACAGGAGTGTTGTCACCAGTATCCTTTTGGGATGGGGATAGGATGCTCCATCAACTAATTTCTTAAAGTGTTTTTGATACTCTTTAGAAATAGAGCACCATGTCCCATAGTACCCTCAGGGTCAAGAACTTCACATCAGCCACGATGCAAGTGTAAAGCACATCCCAAATATTTTGTTTCCCGTCCATTCTCCAGCTCCATGGTGATCCGTGACCTCACCTTGCGCAGTGCTGCCAGCTTTGGTTCCTTCCACCTGATTCGCCTGCTGTATGATGAATACATGTTTTATCTGGTAGAGCATCGTGTTGCCCAGGCAACAGGGGAGACGCCAATTGCCGTAATGGGAGAGGTGAGAATTGTTTATTCCCTAGTAACAAACCCAAACTAAGCATTGCATAAAGGGGCATAACTGGTTCACAAACAGCACTGTGCCCTGAACATGTTTTATAACCATCTTTGCTGAAGGATTTACTGAGGTATTTTGAGTGCTTGGCAGAAGGATCCAGCTACCTGAGCATCTTTTCTCATGGATTGGTAAAACCTGAGCTGATGCTTTTTGAGGCAGATGAGCATCAGCTGGGATTCAGAGGCCTGGAGGAGGGAGGAAATTGACCTACCCACTTCTCTCTGTAATCTTTGGGTACCAACCCTGATTTTAGGGGACCTGCCATAGCTAAGTCGCATCAAACACAAAACCTAACCAAAAGCAAAATGTCCAAAATTTGCCTTCCCTAGAATTTTCATTGGCTCTGTGCATGTAACTTCTTCAGACCCCTCTGCAAACCCCAGAGCTACATGCACAGTCAGCCACTCTCTCAATTTTTGATGTGAAGAAGAGGAATAAATGATAGGTGTTTGGCTTTTCAGTTTTTTATTTTTATTTTTATTTTTTGTCATTACAAGTCAGACAGTAAGCATGGTGTCTGGTTTGCAAACAGGTCCTGTCCTGCCTAGCTGAAGCTGCTTTCAACTTTTCATTCTGAAATGCCCAGATTTAAAAGGTCAACCTGTGAAAGCAATAAAGAAACTACTGTTAGATTAAAACTGATCTCATTTGCTCCTTGAAGCTCATCCTGTTTTCCTCTTTCCATGGAAAGAAGAAATGAATGTGAATGTGAATTCCCACTATCCCTGCTGTTCCCACAATTCCCTGCAAAACCTCTGTCTTCATTGATATTAAAGAAACATGAAAACAAGAGAGTAGTTTCCAGCAAGACCTAGCTGTGGGAGGCTTTCATCCCTTAGGTTTTGCTTCTCCTTCATTAAACATTTGCAGTATTTCTGTTCTCCAGGAGGAGGCTGATTCTTCTTAGCAAAAGACACTGAATTGCATTCTTCCATTTCCATTGCTCACATAATTCCTGCTGTCTTCAGTTCCTTCTGCTGCTCAACGCTGCATGACTTTCCAGCATTATTGTTACAGTACTTTAGTTTCAGACCTTACCACAGAGGGAGACAACACATCTCCAGAACCAAGTATGTCACCAGCTCTCTGGTATCACTTGGTACTGTGGCCTTGCAAGCCAAAGCACTTTCCTGGCATGAATGAAAGGACTTTGCACAGAGCTGTGCATAGTTGGAGTGCTGGTAGAATCCAGGACGGGTGAAAGCTGGCGCATCTGAGCAGCTACCTGATGTGCAGAGAGCTGGAGAAGTGGCAACATCCTTGTGCAGCACTTGATCATGACGTGGGAGACAGAACACTTTCTCCTTATGCCCTTTTCCAAGAACTTGACCCTGTCCTGGATTTTTTGTGTTGTATATTTGCCCAGAGGTTTAAATGAGAGCGGCAGACTTATCCCCAAAATAAGTGGTTGTTTTTGTTTCTGCTTTTTGCCACTGGCACTGCTTGTGGTTTCTCCCGAGTGCTTAAATTGCTTGTTAGAATTGCTTGGAAACAGATGCCAGCAGGTGCCTTGGGTGTCCATAATCCTCACTTAATTTGTAACTCCTTTCTCTTTCAGTTCAGTGACCTCACATCCATGTCCCCAACACTGCTGGACAAAGGTACCTCCTCTCCCTTGAGGGAAGTCCTGTGGGGCCGGGGTTGAGTCACTGTGGGAGGGGGAACCTTGTGCTGGCTCTTCCACCCCACTCCATTGGGAAAAAGGACCTCTTGTCCCTAGGGACCCCTCTGAGTCTGAGCCCTGTCCTTTGCAGATGACATCAGTGATCTGGGCAGCGAGGTGGACATGGATTCCCGGAGCATGGGGGAGCCACTTGTGAAGCGAGAACGCAGCGATGCTGGCCACTCGCTACAGGAGATCTAACATGGGGACTTGGCTTTTCTCTGGCTGGATGAGGTTTGATCTGCAAGCCTGAGTCTCCCCGGGTCTACGCTACTAGTGCCTCTTAGTTTCTCTATATGTTTACTGCTGTTTGAGGAAGGGCTGTGGGTGGTGAGCCGGGGTGGGCGGTGGGAGAGGGCTGTGCTTCGTCCATGTGCGAAGAGTGTGTGGGATGGACGCCTGCCTGCCCCCTGCTCTCTGCCAGCAGCAGCAGTAGCATGGCTGCTGAGTGGAGAGTGAAGGTAAAAGTCTGCTAAAGAAGAGTGCAAAGCCTCCATGGTTCATGACGAATTGGATGTGCCTGGTGAGGAGAGGCTGTGCCCAGCCAAACGGGGGGATGATGGAGGGGCACATGAGGCTTTCTCTTTCAGGGAAGGTGGTTTGGGTTCCTTCCCCACTTCTCAGACTTCACTGTGATACAAAATTGAACCGATCAGTGCCCAAGACGAAGGAAAAATGCCTAACCCTTCTCCTACAGACTTTTAAGACATGCTGTCCTGGCTCTGACTTTGCCAAATTGTTTGTGCTGGGCACACACATACTGTGCATCTCATGAACCCACCTGTGGGACTCCAGGCTGTGCCGTGACCTGGTCCCGGCTGAGCAGTGCACGACATGCTCTGGGACTATGGGACGAGCACTCCCCTCTGCACCTGTGTCTTGCCAGCTGTGTGTTCCATCTGTGAATGATCCTGGGACACTGTCAGGCCAACTCAAGATACCAAAGGACTCTGAGGACGCAGCAGCTGGCCACAAAGCTGGCTCTGATGCCCATGACCGTGAGATGGGGGTATCCCCATCCTCACCAGGGTACCCATGCAGAACGGATGATCCCACGCCCTGAGCTCCCAGCAGGTTCTGTACAATTCTTGCTTGAAGTCTTGCAAAAATAGTGACATGGCCCCACACGTGGGCCTGTGTCCAGGGCGTGGGCGAGGGGTGTGCGACCGCAGTGCCTTAGGGCAGGCAGTGTGCCTGCTTCCCGCAGTGCTCAGCCTTGGCCCTGCAGCAGCAAGGGGCTCTCTGTGGGCCCTGGCCAGCACCATGCTCAGCACTGCAGTGGCGTTTCCCTTGCTGCTTTGCTTCTCCTGCTCCCACGCTGTTGCACTGGCTCCTGCAGGGCTGAGGCAGGGCTCTGATTCCATGAGGTCCATGTGGTCGCTAACGGTGGGGCTGGTGGGGGGGCTGTCATCAAGCCAAACTGCAAAAACAAAGCCCCAGGGCAAACCTGTCTGTGAATAAAGGCTGTGTCATAAATAGCTTTTATTATAATTATTTCTAATGATGTTTTATACAGCATTTGATGTGAGCTTTTCCAGGGGCCTCGTGTACATTTGCATATCAGAGTATATTCTATCCAAATATAATATTTACTCATTCAAAGTGGTACTAAGGTACATGTGACACTTTAAAAAAAAATGCTAATGGAAAGTAAAAAGAAAGTGTGTACAGTGGCACATCTTTCCCTCTTACTGTCCTGTGCTGTTGTCTGTCAGGGTGATGTCTGTCTGTAAATGTCTCATATCAAAGTAGCAGGAGACAAATGAGAAAGCTGGATATATTTGTAAATAATGACAATGAATACTCCCTGGGTCAGTGTCTGCACTTCAGATCTTGCTGATGAGATCAAATGGTCAAAAAAAACCAACTGAGCAACCAAGCCTTATACTCCCCTGCTCCCACAGAGTGTGAAAACTCCAGCTGGTGCATTGGCTCTTCATTGCAGCCCCTACCGACTGAAGCCAGCCACCTCCTGCTCACCACGGACATGCAAGCAAGATGCTCTGGAACAGTGCAGCACCGTGCAAGGAGTCTGGATAACCACCTAAACTCCACGTGCACAAAATTCCCAACTAAACCTGAATAGCAATAAACATATATGAAATGCTCAGGCCTGTACAATAGTTGTGGTGGTCCCATTTCTTTAATCACTGAAAGGAGGCGGGGAACAGGGATGTGATTAAGGACAGGATCATTCCTGCTCTAACACCTCAGGAAGGGGAAGGCTCCCTGCATCCTTCTCGCTCCCTTCCCTCTCCCTCTGGACAGATGGGCTAAGGTGCAGCTGGATCAGGCCCCATCAAGAGGTGGGCAGCCCCTATCAAAGGCTTAAGCCACAGGGATGAGTTTCATCCCAGCCTCCTTCCCCACCTCTTACTGAAGCCGTGGGCCATCCTGCCCCAAGGTGTCACTCCTCCTGGGGATTGCATGGCCCAGGCTTCAACCCTTTTTAAGGGATTTTCTGCTTCCTCTTATAGGCATGGGGAAAAAGGCAGAAGACCTTCGTTTGTCACCCTGGCAGCACTAGGAGCTTGAGCACTGCACAGGGCTGAACCCTCCTTGTGCGTGTTTGTTACTGTCCCTGCACAAGACAGGGAAACTGAGTCTGGAGCTGAGATGCCTCTTGCAGTGGGGTCCTGCCTGCCCCTCTTCTGCCTCCCCAACCCAGCACCTGCAGAGCTCATGGGGCTCAGCTGGAGCTGCTTAACCCTCAGATACGCTTCAGCTGGCACTTGGTGGGGCCCAGCCAGTCATGGTCCTGGCTGCTGGGCCCCTTCTGGGCAGTTGCTTTTATAAACCAGCAGCCTGAGAACCCCCAGGGGTTTTTCTTTCTCTTTTTCTTTTCTTCTCCCTCCTTCTCTGTCTTTTAGGAGCCTTAGCTTGGAGGTGGGAGGGCTGGGGGTCTGCTGCCTGCAGCTCTCTAGGATGTGGTGCTAGGACTTCCCACTCTTCCCCTCTACCGTGTCAAGCAGGTAAGGGCACGGCACAGGGCTGCCCCCTCTCCCCCATCCCTTGGCTGGGGCTGCCGCCCAGGGGCTGTGCTCTGCCCTGGGGCTGCCTGTGGCCAGAAACCACCCCAGCACCACCCTTCTCCTGTGTGGTGTCCCAGATGAAGGACCATGTCATCGCGTAGTTCTGTGGTGGCCCTGGGGCTCGGTTCCCAGCCTGGCTGCAGCACCACTCTGCCAGCGCAAAGAAATTCCTTCCCTGGGCTGCATCTCCTTCCGCCTCGGAGCCGCTCACTCGCCCTGCTCGGCCAGGATGACTTCAAGAGCTTCAGTGGGTGTGTGGCCATGGGGATGTGTGTGTGGGGGGTGAGCCCTAGTCTTGCTTTGTGCTTATCCCAAGACCCTTATCTGGAATGGGTTTAGGTTTGTGGCTCCCAGGCCGATGGGCCTAGGCCTTCCTGGCACCTCTGCCACCTGTGCTGTTGCTGCTGGGACAGGGCAGTGCTGTGCATCCTGAAGGCCACCAATTCACACCCGTGTCCTTGTTGCTCCCCCAGGAGCTTCTGTGATGTGAGCGATGCTTTGGGTGCTGGCCTATTCGACTGCAGCTACTCTGTCCCCGACCCACAGCTGGTCCGGAGGATTGTGTCCCAGGTAGAGTTCTACCTCTCTGACGAGAACCTGGCCAAGGATGCCTTCCTCCTGAAGCACGTCCAGAAGAACAAGATGGGCTTTGTCAGCATCAAGTTGCTCACGTCCTTCAAGAAGGTAGGCTGGTTATGGCAGGAGGCAGCCTCCACATGGAGGCTTTAGTTGGACGAGAGAACTGTGAGGAAGCACTGGTGGCATGGAGTACAGGGGAGCTGTGGCTTATTGCTGGGGTCCTTGGGAATCTTCTCTAATCCCCAGCGGTAGTTGGGTGAAGGGTGACATTGCCCTGCTGTGACTTTGGGGTGAGGGGGCTGCAGCCTGCCTGGACTGCCAGGGAATGCAGCGGCCTCCTTTTCACCGCAGGTGAAGTACCTGACACGCGACTGGCGGCTCACGCTTTACGCCCTACAGTTCTCGGAACTGCTGGAAGTGAATGAGGAGGGCACCAAAGTGAGGCGGCGGGTCCCCCTCCCAGAGTCCCTGCTGAGCATCCCCCCCAGCAAATTGCTCCTGGCTTGGGACCCACTGCCTCAGGAGCTGGGTATGCTGCTGCCACTCCAGAAGAACTTCATCGAGACCATCACGAGGATGTTCAGCCCCTTTGGCGCAATCGCCTCCATCCGCATCCTGCGGCCGGGCAGGAAGCTGCCCTCAGATGTACGGAAATACACGGTGCGCTTCCCCGAGCTGCTGAGTCGCTGCTGTGCACTGGTGGAGTATGAGAGCTTGGAGAGTGCCCGCAGGGCCTTTGAGGACCTGAGCCGCCCTGGCTCCGCAAGCATACGGGTGGTACGGCTCTCAGGGAAGGGCTCAAAGAAAAGTGTGACTGAGAGGGAGGCAGCGGCAGTGGAGGAGACGCTGGGATGGAAGGCACAGGCAGTGGCGGCTGAGATGTTCCCTTACAGCCTTGAGGACTCCTTGCTGTGCAGCTCCCTGGAGTCAGACACGGCCCAGGCCTCATTGCCCCTCCTCCTCTCAACACCCTCCAGGCCTGATGGCCACAGTGGCTTCAAGCCTGGCTCCTTTGGCAGCACCTTTACCAGATCGCTCCTCGCCAGCAAGGTCTTTCCTCCACTAACCACAGAGCTGAGCACTGGTGGCTGCTTTGGCCTTGGCTCCAGCCCTGAGAGCTCCCAGGGCCTTGATTTTGGCTGGGGGAGCGGGGTAGGTGCGTGGACACCCTGGGGTGGCAGCATAACCCCTGACCCCTCTCTGGATGCCAAATCACCTCCCGGCAATCCCCTGGCTGTGAAGCAGGTATCAGAGTCCCTCGGCCTCTGTGCTGGTGTGCTTCGCCTGCCACATGGGCCTGATGGCACCAAGGGCTTCTACAACAGCATTGGGAGAGGAAAACTTGTCCTCAAGCACTAAGGCTCCTTTGTGTTTTGGTTTGGGGATTATTTTTGGTTTTGTTTTTCCTTATTGTGTCAAGAAGAATAACTTGGTGGCCCAGAGAGCCGCGGGCGGTGGCAGTGCAGCTGTTTTGGGGGTGAGGATGCTCGGGGTAGAGCAGGGTGTGAGCTGAGACACTGAGCACCAGAAGAACCCAGCGCCATGCTCAGGCCAGCAGCCACCACTCCTGCCAGGGCCCAGGCCAGCCCTGGGTGATGCTGCTGGGATTCTGTCATGTTGGGTCCCCCCACGTCCCTGGGGCCAGTGACAATGGGGACACTGAGAGCTCCTGCATGAGCGTGGCAGGACAGCGCTGCCTCCTGAAGGTGCTGTTGCATGCATTGGTGTAAAGTTGTGGAGCTCGGATGTGAAATGTTCAATAAAGTGAGATGAAGTTTCCAGGCAATTTCTGGTTGTGGCAGTGATTTATTTATGATGTCTTTTCCTTGATGTCTTTTTCCTTACTTTCCTGGTGTTGTGGCTGTCCAAGGTGCAGCGAGACAAGGGGAGAAGGGAGTTGCCTGCCAGCAACTCCATCCCTTGCCATTCTTTGGGTCATTTGGGGTTATTTTCCTGCAGCAGTGAGGATGAGCCAGGCTCTGGAGCTGAGTCTGGTGGGACCCAAGAATGGGAATTACCTTGAGGTCTATAAGTGCTTTGTATTGACCCTTGCCCCTACAAGAGAGGATGCAGGCTATGCTCAATGTGAAGGCAGTACAGCATTTATTTATTTATTTTTGTCCCCTGTTCTCATTCCAGGGGCTCAGTGCAGCGCTGGGGATGCTACTTCCAACATGGGGCTGTGTTTGTGAGTCCTGCATGGACCTGTCTGTCCTGGCCTGTCCCACCAAAGAGCTCCCCCCTCCCAAAGGGACTGGGAGGTCCACCTACTACATTTGTCTGCCTTGCTGGTGATGGCTTCATCCTGGGGATGGTTTGGTGGCTCTCATTTGGGGCTCAGTGTTGATTTTGTACCTCTGCCATTTCCTGCTGTCTCTGCATTTCCTCCACCCCCACAGGCATGGAGTCCTATGCAGTTCTGAATAATTAACTTTTTTTTTTTTTTTTTTTTTTTTGGAGGGGGGAGAGAGATGAAAGCTAACCTACTACATCCTTATCCCCTTCCTCCTTATCCCCATCCCTCCCACCCCTAAAATGGCTTTAGTGCTGCCCTCTAACCCCAGCGCTGGCTGTGGAGGCTTTGGGCTTGCTGCCTTTTTTTGGCAATGATCTGTTCCGCCGCTTTTTCCCTCGCTTTTCCAGCTTGGTGTTGGGATGAAATGCGTTGTCCTCTGGTGACAGCAGTAGTGGCAGGTCCCACTGCGGCTCTTCCAGGTTCAGCCTGATCTCCTCAAGGTGCTCCATGCTTAGGATGGCATTGGAGGCCTCAGGGATGCTGTAGTCAGAGGAGAGCATCTCCTCGGGCAGCCAGAGCGAGCTGATGTCGTAGCAGGGGTTGGAGCTGTTGGTGTCACTGGGGTCCTCAGGTATGGGGACACTGCTGGGACTGCCCTGGCTGCACTCCCCTGCCCCCAGGGAACAGTCAAAGAGCCTCATGGCCTCCTCCAGCAGCACCTCCTCAGGCAGCAACATGGGGCTCTCTAGGGCATGTCCCATTGTTTGGGTATGAGGGATGATGGAATTGCCCAGGGCTACGTCACCATCAGCAGGGTTGTCACTGTTCAGGGAGATGCTGCTGTCCTCAGGGTCATTGCTACCCAGGGGGGTGCCCCCACCCATGGATGCCTCCATGGGGACAGCTGTGCTGGAGAGTTTCATCTGCTGGAGCTGACCCTCCAGGTGCTGGAAGCTGGGGAAGGATGGTGGCAGCACTGGGGGGGCAGGGACTGCCACCTTCCCCTGAGGGTCATAGGGCATGAAGAGCTGCAGGGGGGGAACCCAGGCTGGGGATGCCTCACGGCTCTGGGGACCCCGTGGGGCAGTGCTGGGCAGTGAAGCGGAGCCAACGAGCGTGAAGGTTGCTGGCGAGGGGAGGTTGGTGGTGGTCCACTCTATGTGGAAGACGCGGGGGTCGAAGAAGCAGCCACATGGAGCCATCTGGAGACCTGTGGGGTCAGGTGGGAGCTGTAGGAGCTTGGGGGGGGGGGGGATGCTCCTTGGACATCCCCCTCTCCTCCCTCCCCAGGCTGCCCTGGGCTTGCTGAACCCATACACTGTCGGAGACAGGGGGACACCAAACCTGGAGGGGGGGCCCGGGGCATGCCAGATGCCACCATAGCTGGGGGTGCCTGGAAGGGGTGCTCCAGCCTGGGGTTAGGCAAGCCTGGAAGAGAGAGAGACAAGGAACCACCATCAGTCACCTCCAGAACCAGGGTGGGGGCAAGAGGAGGAGGGCAGGATGCGATGAAGGGAGGGATGCAGAGTTTGCCATCGAGCATCTGTGGGCCGCAGGGCCGGACCCTACCTGCAGGGTAGAAGTTTTGGGTGAGGACGAATGGCTGAAGGGGCCAGGGTGCCTGGGGGCGCTGGTGGCCGCGGGGTGGGTGCCGTGGGGCTGGCAGCTCCATGGCTGGTTACGACTCCAGGTCTGGCTGCTTCTGTTTGTGGGTCTCCTAGGAAGGACTGTGAGGGCTTGCCGTGTTCCAACCCCACCCCCCAACTTCCCCAAGGAGAGAAAGGGTTAATCGGGGCTGCGGTGCCCCCACACCTGCAGGCAGTTGCAGGGTGCTGATAGGGCAGAGCCTGGGGCTTGTTGCCCTCATGAAATACAGCCCGGAGCAGCCTGGGAGCCTCTTTTGGGGTCTGCAGCGGGATGCGTGGGGACAGCGTGGGGCTGCTGGGGACAGGAACAGCCTGGTAAGGTCCGAGGCGTGGGGACGGAGCGGGGGAGAGGGCACCCATGGCCCGGCAGAGCTCAACCTGGGGACACCCCCAGCGGGTGCAGGCGCGGCGCGGCCGGGAGATGGAGCGCTCGCACTGCCTGCAGCTGCTGGAATGCTGCTGAAGTCCTCAGCAGCAGCGCCCTGCAGCCGCTGTGTCCTCTCCCTGCATTTGCCATTTGCTGCTGATTTTTGTGCAGCGGGGGCCCGGCTGCGGTGCCGAGAGCTTTGGTCCTCCCCTGCCTGGGTGTGCTGGAGGGGGTTGTTGCCCTGTGCAAACCCACGGGTGCTCAAGGTTATTGGTAAACAGGCTGTGAAATGGAAACCACTCTCTTTCTTTTGGAAGATATTTCTGAAGATGCTGTTTATTCCCTCTTCGTGTGCTGCCTTTTTTTTTTTTTCTCATTTTTTTTTTTTTTTTAAATGTGCTTGTGAACCCGTGTGCCTCAGATGAAGCCCCTACTGAGTAGCAAAACTGTTGCTGCAGAACAAAGATAAATGAAGGCGTTGTCACAGCCTTTGTGCCAGGGGCTGTGGGCTGCTGAGGGTGAGCCAGGCAGCGCTGGGGACGTCCGAGAGGGTCCCGCAGGTGCTGCACCCACCGCCGGGCTGTGCGTGTCTGGGGCTGTGTATGGAGCCCCATCTAGGGTCCCAGGATGTTGTGGAGCTGGTGGGGATGTTCGCTGCCTGGCACAGAGGGATGTTGGGTTAAGAAGTCTGTTGTTGCCACTTTGCCCAGCCTCCACCCTCCAGTGTGCCGAGAGCCTCCACCAGGCACATGGGTGCACAGGTTTCCCATATAGGCTGGGACAGGGATGTCATTAATTTAATGACTTTTGGTGCGAGCCTTGGCATCACAGTGTGTGAGCGTCAGCTGAGCAAGAGCTGCCTTGGAAAGCTGCCCAGGAGCATTGGGCTCTGCCACAGGCCACCTGTCCTTCCACCCTGTCTCTGCCCTTGAACCCACTGCCCCTAAATGTGTCTGCTCCCCATGTGCTCCCAGTTCAAGGCACCTTGTGAGGATTGCCTGGCTTAAATTTTGCAGCTGTGGCTTTTCAAAATTTTTTTGGAGGCCCCATTCTGTTTCCTTCTGTCCAGTGAGGCTGTACCCACCCATGGGGAAGCTAATGGGGTCTGTATGCTCCTTCCCACCTGCTCCGCTGCTCTGTGAGCCCTGAACCTCAGCCCTGCCAGAGCTCCTTGGTGGCAGAGCGATGCCAGGCAGCATGTGAACATTGCTCATCACCACCAGGAAATCCACTCAGCACTGCTTGCTCAGGAAGCTCATTCAAACAGCTACGTTCTTTGAGCATGAAAGAAATACCCACTGTTGTGGTGCATGGCTCTACCTTGCGTGAGCTGCAGGCTTTTTAGGAGGAAAATGAACAAGCTGCTTCAGCTGAGCTGTCATGGACATGAGCTGTCTGGCTTGTGGCTGCCCCTCATTGACACGCTGCATCCATGGAGTGAGTCCTCATGCCACAGAGTGAGCGCATTTGTGGTTGTTTTCTGTACTTGGCAGCCTTCACATGCTGCGTTTGTTCAAGTGATCCAAACCTAGAGAAAGACCTTGAGGGAGCTAGGGAAGGTCATGTATGCGGTGTCACTCACCCTGCTTTCATTAATCCTCTGCACAAAAAGGATGAAATGTTTTTGATGAAAAAACAGCAGCTCTGCATCCCCCTCCCCCAGCAAAGCCCTTGGAGGCGCCATGCTTCCCCATGGCACTTGACATCCAAGAAATGGCAAGTGCCTGTGCCTGCTCCCAGGAAGGGACAGAACTCTGCACAATATCAGATGCTGGGACACTGGGTCTGTTTGTTATCTACAGGACCCCTAGGGATTGTGTCAGTACAACCCTTCCCCATACATGAAGGATTTGGCACTACCAAGGATATCCTGGTAGGAACAGAGGCCTCTTGCTCCCACAATGTGAAGAGCATGTGGAGTGGGGTGATTGGGACAACTCCCACTGTGAACTGGAGGCTGAAGATCTCTTCTGGCCTGTATCCTGTTAATTAAACAGATTGCTCTGTCAGTGAGGCACCTCTGGCTGCAAGACTACGCAAGTGCAAGGCCATCTGCTGTGCAACTTGTGGCAGGCAATGATGCTCAGGGCAAGAAAGCCACCACGCTTCTAAAAACATAAAACTTTATTTCATTTCTTTGCGTAGCTGAACAACCTGCTCTGCAAACACCCACCATATTAATGCTTTCCCTTGACTTGATGCCATAGGAAACAGCCTCATCAGTCCTATCTGTAGGAATTTGCCTTGTGTTTAGGCAGGAAGGTAAAGTTGGTAGGAACAGGTCCCAGAAGCAGCTCACTGAAGAAAAAAAAAAGTAAGGTTAGTACAGCAGAGCCGCTGCTACCCACCTGCATGGCCCCCTGGCTCTACAGCAATGGTTACTACAGCCACATGTATCCAAATCAAGCTTTTACCCTCCTGAATATGTGAAGTGTTGCTGCATGCAACTGCCCCTAGCACTGAGCTTTAACCCTGAACCACAGCACGGGAGGGATGCAAGCTCCATGTATTGGCAATGCCCTTGCTGCTGGGGAGTCACTGAGAGTCAATGCCAAAATGGGTTTCTAAGTTTGGTGATCCAAATACCAGCCTCACTGCTGGAAACCACATGCCTAGAATCAACACAAGCCTCTGAAAGCTCCTCCCCACCTCTTGCTGTGCTCGTGCAGAGCCAAAACTCTGTTAGTGCCAAAAAGCATTAAGGTTGGATCCTAAAATGATGTAAGCCAGTGCTATTGTGAGTTATCCTAGCTTAAGACTTCAACTATTTCACACTTTGGAACCCACATTATGTTTTCAGTGCAGAGTAATTTTCTGTATAGTCAAGGAGGCTTAACGTATTTCCTGGATGCTCATTCAACATAGCCATCATTAAAACTTTCCGTAAGACATGTCGGCAGAGAGTATCCCAGCAGGGCATATAATTGCATAATGAGAGAAGCTGTGAATCTACAGCTCAAAAGAGGGTATGCTTGGAGGACTCCTGATTTGGGTTAGAATCTCCTTAGCAGCTCCTAAGCAATCTTTAACAAATAAACCTAATCTGATCCAAAATTGTGAGTTCCTATGGCTGTGTCTATTACATGGCCCTGCAAAGAGCACAGGTTACAAAGTTTTGCACAGTCTAGTGTGGGCAGGTTCTGCTTGAAAAATGGCATTTTAAAATTCTGATTAAAACTCAATGTAATTTGCATTTAGGCAGCTGTTCCCAATACTAACAAAATGAATGAGGATTAGCAAAAAATAGAGAAGCTTGTAGCCATGCTCTATTTTTGTTAATCTGTTTCCATGACATGGGAAATAGCAGCTGGCTGTGCTGCCTGAGCTCTCATTTTAGCTGGCTGTGAGCTTATTAAGTCACTTCCCAGCCAGTACCTGAGGTCTCATAGATGTGGGGAAAAGCAGTTGCCTGCATTCTGTTGCACAAACTCAGAAATTAGATGCTGAAAAATGGGGGATATGCTCAGTTCTTCTGAATTGGGATTTGGGGCTGCTTTCCTGTTTGGCATCTGTGCAGCCTGGCCGAGCGGGACTGTCTGCACAGAGTACAGAGAGACAGAGCTGAAAGCCTGAGCTGTCCCATCACTGCACATTCCTTTGTTGGTTCCTACGATTGTCCCAGGATGAACAGTGTGTCATGAGAGAGGTCAGCTGTTCTAGATTTGCAGCGGGTACTGAATGCTGCTGAGGCAGATGCAGGGAGTGAAAGCTCTTTATGGCAACTCCAAGCTTGCTTAAAACCTCCAATTAAAGCACTGGTTAACCCTTGGTGGTTTCTTACAGCCTCTTGAGCTTGTGGGAAGGAGTCATCACTGCTCTTTGGCAGATGCATGCAGACACAGGGACTTTGCGGAGCTCTGCTATGTCACAACCTAGCAATTTAAGTGAAATGCAATGCTTTGTTACCTGATCTTAATCCAATCGTCCACATTTTGGCTTGCCATCAGCGTCTCCAGATAGTCTCTCCCAATGTAGTAAGGTGGCCGCTCATTGATTTTCTGAGGTAGGTGTTCTAATAATCCAACTGGAATATACCTACAATGAAATATAAATGCTAATGACACTGTGTGCTACTGTTCAAAGGGTGTGGCCTTGCTGTGGAAAAGATTCTCTCAGCTGGGCACAATTACCTGCACAGAAATGAGAGCCATTCCAGCAGGAACTTCCTGGTCTTTTCAACTCCCTGAGTATCTGATCCCCAGTGCTCAAGGCCATAGTTGGTGAAGTCTTTGAGGATATCAAATCTCTCACTGGAGGAAATATCCCAGTGTCTCTGTTCCTTAATTTCAGTAAAAAGCCATGGTTTGATGAGCGCTCCTCTGTAGCAAAATTAAATGTGCATCGTTATTCCTGTGACTGATGCTTCTGAAGACGCCAACCAACTTAAAAGATTTTCCAGCTCTTATTTGCCAGCCAGCGCTACTTTAAAGCTTTCAATTTCAACAGGAAGCTGCTATGAGTTCCCACAGATACACTGACTGTACCAAGTTTCAAAGAGTAATTACACAAAGAGGAAACTTTTCTCGTGTTTTGTGTTAGTTTAGATATTTTTTAATTGATTTCTTACTCCTGCATCAACAGGGCCCAGAAGCAAAGGGGAAGAAGTGCAGCCACTTGCCTTGCAATCATAATTCCTGAAACACCCATCTGCATGGCTTGATTAGCATCTTCAAAAGACAAAATATCACCGTTTCCTGTGCAGAAGGGAGAGAGAAGCCAGAGGTCAAAGCGATGCACCAGGGCAAGTCAAAATGAGATAATCCAGACATGGGATAAAATTCAGAACGGACACTGTGTCCAGGAGCCACGCTGTCCAAAGAGGCTCCAGGACTCATGTTTAGAGACTTGCAGGAATGTTTCTGATTAATGTTCCCATTACAAGGAGGAACAGAGCCTTCTCCTCTCTTCTTCTTCATTCCCGACTCCTACCCTCCAGGACTCTCTGTGCCACGGTGCCCACAGGAGAAAGCACCTGCTAAAAAGTTGTTTTGTGTCCTGCCTGTCCCTTCCACTCCTGCTTTGCTCAGTCCTCACCACTTCTGGCCCCAAGCACATCCGCAAAGCTGAAATGCACAAGACTCACACACTTCATTCCCTCTGTGGAGTCATGGGCAGTGGTAGGGACACTCCAACCTTTCCCCCTGGCTGAATGTCCTTGGGGGCCTGTGTTTTGTTGTGCGTGTTTTTAAAATAATATGTTTCAAACCAGATATTGCAGCACATCTCAGACCCAATAAACCAGCAACACTTACCAAAAAGAGGCATAGGGCTTGCTATTTTAGCACATTCTGCTATGTAGTCCCAGTCAGCAACCCTTGTGTACCGCTGTTCCCTGGACCGGCCATGAAGCTGGGGAAAGAAGTTATAGAGACCTCACCAAAAGTCACAAAGGAAGTATAGTAGGACGCAAACACTGGAGGAATATGCTTCAACAAAAGCAACACCAACAGGATGGGGTAAAGGATTCTTCTAGGTGTACAGTCCAGCCAGCTGCTAACAGACTGGGCTGCAGAAGTGGTTATCAGGGCTGAGAAAGCGCTGGAAGCTTTCTGAGTAGCGACTGGGCTATTTGCAAGCCAGAGCAAGAAGTGACAATTTGCAGTGAAAGGGAATATTCACTGTGGGTAGGAACTACTCATACCCATGCAAAAGAGTCCCCAGCCCTGCCACAATGAAGCTTAGTTGAATGAAGTTCCTGTTTCAAAGCACTGCAGCAGCCATCTCCTTTTGTAATAGATACAAGGTTCAAGACAATCAAGGACAATGTCCTAGATATATGAGCATCTGAATTTGTCTTACTAGAAGAAATCACTAAAAGGTAGTACACAGATAATCAAAGGTATTTGGAAGAGCTAGTCAGCTGTGGGGAAGGGCTAAGGTCACCCCCACATTGTGCTCTAGGCTGATATGCAAGCAGAGCTCCCCAGACACCAGCCAACAATCTTTGTCACAGCAAGTAACCCCATACCGTCACCATGGATGCTCCCCACTCCCGGAGCTTGGGGATTATTTTATGAGCCACATTAATCTTTTCTTGTACCCCTGTCCGTATCTTCACGGTCAGTGGGACATCCAGCACCTGCAGAGAGGGCAGAGTGAGGCCAGGCTGGGGCAGGAGGTTGCTTTACCAGCTTTTCTCCTGCTCATAGCAGGTGCTCTGACTCACCAAGTTCATCCCTCGGACAATCTGTTCAAACTTGTTGGTCCGAGTCATCAGAGCACAGCCTCCTCCCTGGAGAAAGAAAGGTGGCACCGTGAAGACTTTGCACCAGAGTCTCCTTGCACAAAGAAGCAGCCTTCCGCTTAGGAAATGTAACTAAAACTTGTAACCTCTCCAGATTCAGATGAAGGGGATGCTTCAACAAAGACACCTTTTTCCCTCCTGGCTTCTGCCTGCTGCCAGACAGAAGAGACAGCCAATCCTCCTCTGCTCTTTGAACAGCTTATGGGCCTCCTTACTGGAGTCCATAAGTGAATTGGAAGGTCTGGATCAAACTGGCAGGAGCAGATCAGGTAGCAGGGGATGAGGCAAAAGACAAGTATCTATTGACAGAAACAGGACATGCTGCAGAACATCTTACCTTCTTGTAGACCAGGTCGATGGGACACCCAACATTGATGTCCACAAAGTCCACATCAATTGTCTGGTTGAGGAGCTCTGCACATTTGGTCATTGTGTCTGGAAACGCTCCCTCCAGCTACCAAAGGGGGACAGTTTGTATGAGTTTAATCAGCAACTTTTCTCCTCAGAACTGAAATATCATCTGTCAGGCTATCAAGATGACAGCAGTTACCTGCACCCCAAAAACATCTTCAGTGTGGTGCCGTTTGAGGAGAGCCCACTCAGAGGACTGGCCCTGAAGCAGGTTTGTGCACACAGCCATCTCTCCACAGGTGATGTCTGCCCCAAAGCGTTTGCATATCCTTCGGAAAGGGAGGTTACCACACTGAAAGAGACAGGTTAATCAGGAGATTTGCTCTGTTCCAAATGTGGTGAAGTCAAATTTTGACTTAGTTACCTACCGTGGTCAATGGAGCCAAGTAGAGCTTGCCTTGGATTTCCAACTGGAAAATAACCAGGGATGGAGGAGCACATTAACAGAGCTGAACCAGCAGTGGTTAAACCAGAGGAGATTCCAATCAGTGATTTTATCACCTGCCTTGAAAAAACTCAGTGGAAACCCAGAAAATCACTGTTTTTGTTCAGAACCTCAACTGTTCCCTGACATTTCAGTAAAAGAAACAGAAACTTTAACTGCTCAATTGTTTTCACTGCTCAGCTTGGAGAAAACTCAAAGCAGTTCGAGATTTAGCAGGATGCTAGACTGGCTAACGGACACCATGACAGAGGTGAGGGGAAGGAGGCGATACTGGGCCGGAGAGCACCATGAAGTACACGCAGATCTACCAGCCCCAGCTTTCCCTGCAGATCATTTCCACCCTCACTGAGCTCAGCTCCTACTCTCCTTCACGTTCAAGGGGCTGAATCTCCTCTCAGTTCTCATCCTTCCAATAACATTGCCATGGTCCCAACAGCTCACCTGCCCACACCTTTCCCCTCTCATGACAGTAACGTGGGGACAGCAGCTCTGTCCTCTGCCTGCCTCTCACCCAGCTGTCTCTTCTGTCTTCCTAAGGACAATCTCAACCACTAGACAGGGATATGAGAGAGCTGCCCTTGCTGTCACTGCTCACCTTCTTCTTCTCACATGGCCGCAGCTTTACAATATCTTCATCTGTCACCAAGCCAGCTGTTTTGATGGGACATTCCCCCTCACCCTCTATGGGGACGGGACTCTGCAAGGCAGCTTGTTTGGGATCTCCTCCCTCGTCTGGTAGCACCAGACATTCTGGGGCGTCTCCCAGGCCTTCCTGGGGCATTGTGTAGTTGGACACCTCCAGATCCTCTGCAGAGCACCCCAAGGCTTTGCCTCCCTTCCCACTGTTTTTGTGGGGCTTGGCCAGACTGCGGAGGTACTCATCAGCCTTCTTGAAGCTAAATTTCTTCTTGCGCAGCTGGTGCTGGAGGTCCTTGGAGAGGTTGTTTCTCACCAGTGATTTCCCCTCCCACTGCTTGGTCAGGTCTGTGTTGATGATGTTTTGGTAGCCATCCCCAAGGTGGGCCTTGGCAAAGCGGCAGGTGATGCCATAAAGGCACTTGCCAAAGGTTTCAAAGAGCACGCAGCTGTGCCCTAGGTCAGGCGGCTTTGTGGCCATGTATTCACTGATGTCATGAAGGAAGCGACACCGTGGACCGAAGTAGCACTTATCTGCACAGCCCTGAAAATAATAAAAGGGGAGATTAAAACCTCTGCCCTCCACCTGCACACATGCTTGCCTGTACCTTCTACCACCACTGATGTGAGCCTGGGTCCACCCCGGGCTGGAGAGGGGACAAAACTGCAGTGAGCATCTGTCAGGCCGTGGATGATGTTGGGGATGCCATGAACTGCTCTCCGGAACATGCTGGGGCATACTGAGTACTTGAGGAGATGTTTTAGCTTTATGGCCTTGGAAAAGCTGCCTTGTCCTGCTCAGCCTCACCCTGTTACACGTTCTCCCAACAAGTCAACTGAAGCAGTTCTGCCTCAGCGCCTTCCTGCTGGGAGTTTGCTTCAACCTCTGCCTTCAATCCTCCAGAATGCATTCTCCAAGACCCAAAAATAAACGACCCCCCCTGGGCAAAGCTGAGCAGGACCCCACTTCGTACCTGCGTTACTGATGGGCACAGCCTGCTCTTCTCGTAGTGGTTTGGCTTCATGCACGGCCTGCTCTTGTTCTGCCCCCGGGCTCGCTTCCTCTCCGCAGGCACCTTCTCCCCTTCCCCAACACCCTCTTGGCTCTCTGCACCCAGGCCATGCTCGCTCAGCCTCCCTCGTTTCGCAGGGGGTTCACTCTGCTCACTGCCAGCCTCTTCCTCCTCCTCCTCAGCCTCTCCGTCGTCTCTATGCTGGCCGCTGGCCCTCAGGTAGGCGTGGAACCGCTCCCTGGAGGCAACGAACCTGCAGCCCCGGACAGCCCGTCAGGAGCCCGAACCGTCCCCGGTCCCGCTCCCACACTCCATAAAACAGCACCGGAGGTGGGAAGCCCTGATGACCCCTCGGGCCGCAGCCCGCTCCCAACCCGCCCCACCGAGAGGGCCCCAGGACCCAGGCCGGGCCCTCACAGGGTCCCGGGGCCGCCGCCCCCAGCCCTGCACCCACCGCGCCTGGACCGGAGCCACCCCTGCCGCCGCCGCCATCTTGTTGCCGCACGCGGCGATGACGTCCGTCACGTGACCGGGAGTCGGTATAAAAGGCCGGACTGGGGCCGGGCGCCTTCATTGTGGTGGGCTGGGCGGGTTGCTGAGGGGTGGCTCGCTGCGGCTCTGGGCGAGGGGCTAGGTTTGGGCTGGTGGGAGGCTCTGGGCTTGCTGGGGCTTCTGTGCCTGCCTTGTAGGTTGGCGCCGTGCTGGCCCCTTGGGTGTTGAGAGGGTCTCTGCACTCGCTCTGTCTCTCCCAGCTCTGCTGTGGATTTCTCTGTTCTATATCCCAGCCCCCGGGTAAGACCTTGCTGCTGTGGCCTGAGGGATGGGGCTGGTGATGGCAACGGAGGAGGAGGTGTCCCTGGTCTCGTCGTGTCTTGGGGCTGGCACAGGGGAGGTGCTGGGTGTGCTGCCTGTGGGTGGCTGTCAGAGGGAAGAGGTGAAAAATACTGCACCAGTTGGGCTGTGCAAGTGACAGTGGAATGTGAGACAAGGCCACTTTGTCCCTGGGGATTTGGGTTGGCTTCCAACATGGGCTGGAGCCACCGTAAAACAGCACAGGCCTGTGGTGCTGCTCTGTGCTCCTGGTACTTGTGCTGAGGAGGCTGTCCCTAACTGTGTGCGTGGCTGGTGCTCCAGAGACTGTCTGGAGTATGGATTCTGCCCTTGTGTTTGGTCTGGGGGTGGAAGTTGGGGCTTTAAAAATAAACCATTGTGTAAAGCCTCTCTTCAGTGAGGGACTTATACGCATATGATGTCTCCCTCCTGTGTTGCTGTTGTATCTTTCCATGTGTTTGCAGCACTTGTTACAGCCTTTCTTGGTCTGTGTTCCTTGCATGCAAGAAGCATCTGCAATCCTCCAGATGTGTACATGGTACCCCTGGGTTTTGAATAAGAAATACCTTGTAGCGTGGGGCTTGATGCTTCATGGGAGCTCTCCTGCAGGAGGCTTTGCTTCCTTTCCTTTCCTTTCCTTTCCAGCTCAGGTTCCCATCCCTTTCTTGCAGCTGTAATGTGTTATCCATGCAGCCTTCTCAATTGATTTGTGCTTAGCCCTGGCTGCCAAAAGGGAGAGAAATATCTGTGAAATCTAGATGAAGACAGGAACATCTCCATTTTCTTTTCTTTCCCCTGCACTGGCCCGAGGGCCTTGCTGGACCCTTTTGTCAGAATAAGAAATTGTCTTTTCCTTGCTGTGAGCCCAGGAGAGCTGGCAGGAGCATAGTTTGTTTTCTGCTGGAGCACAGGTACCAACCAGAGGAGGGAGAAGGTACCTTGTGGTTCTGCCTTCAGGGGCTGCTAGAAGCTGGTGACAAACAGCTGTTCTTGTGGTGTTGGGGGATTACTGCAGTGTGTTTATGGGCATGCAAGGGTTATGTATGCACATAGGACAGGGGTAGAATTGCACATGGGGCTTTAATTTGGGTGTTTTCCTGCTTTCTGTTGCCTTAATGCAGTTGTCTCTAGATGTTCCATCAGAAACGTCTTTTGGGGGGATCTGGGAGCCTGGTAGGGTGCTTCTGCTGAGGCTGTTGCTGAGGGTGGGCAGGTTGCAGGACTGAGACAAGCTGCTGTGAGAAGGACTTTTGGCTGATTGGATATTAATTAGTTCTGGAGAGAAATATGAGGAATGTAGAATACTATTTTAAGCTTCAACTTGGCTGAGGGAAGGAAGGAAGGAAATGAGGCCCTGGGGATTAATGAAGTGATTTCACTGATGTTTTCTTGGGGCAGCAAGCCTGAAGTCAGAGTGCTTCTGACTTGCAGTACTCAGCTGAGGTCAGACTTTCATATCTCATCTCCTCTCAGGGTACTGGTGCAGTGGCTTTATGAGACTAAGCCTCAGGCAAGCTTTCTGTCAGACCCTGGTGGAGGCTGTTAGAGGAGCACAAAGCCCCTGGCATGGCCAGCACTGCCGCAGACTGTGGGGCATCCAGTTGGAGCCAGCCGCACGTGCATTGTGCTGTGTGCCGTGCTGCAACACAGTTACTTGTGTGTGGTGCCATGAGGGCTTGGCTGCATGTAGCTGAGCATCTTGAGGTGGAAGAAGTCAGGATCTCTGCTAAATACAGGGATGTGCTTTGCTTGTTGGCTGCTTCAGCTCTTTCACCCCTTGCTGTGTTCTGGTGGTGATGAGGCTGTCAGCAGGCAGGGAAACAAATAACCACTTCTGTGGGCAAGCAAGTGCTTTGGTTGCCAGAGCTGGGCTTAACATCCAGCAGCAGCACTAGAGCAGCTTTGGAGCAAACCAATACCCAATAGCATAAAGGAAAAGGCCAAGTCAGGAAAAAAGGAAAGGTTGATTACAGGGAAGTGTGATATATATACAAGAGTAGCCAAGTCAGAAAAAGTTCAGCTACTTCAACGTCCAAGTCAAACAAGATGCCTGTATTAACAAAAATACACCTTCCATGGGCTCCCACACAAAAATCGGATGTGTCAAGCCCTTGGTTCTGGCTACTACACCCAGGCATTAGCTGAAAAACGAGGTTCTGCAGCAGCCCTGAGATGTTACCTCTACAGCTGCAGTGGGTGAGAGTGGGGATAGAAATTTGGCCTGGTGACATTTGTTTGGATGCCTTTCATAGTATTGCAGTAATGTTCTGACAACCTTTTCTGGTTAATTGTGTACATGGGCAAATGTCACGGAAGACAGGTGTGAGATTTTTTTGGGTTATGTATGAGCAGAGCAGCCAGAGCTGGAAGCAATCCACTGGGTCCTATCCATCTTTTGGTCAAAGCAAAATCCATTCCTCATGTCTATTGCTTCCTCTCTTATTCAGTCTTGTTTTTAAAGCCCCATGCAACAGAGCTTCTAGCCTTTTGCAAAGGGGACTATTCCTGATGCTCATAAATCTACTATCAGGAAGCTGTTTCCAAGATTAAAGCTTAAATGTTTCCCGGCTCTGGTTTCATCCCCAGCTCCCAGTTTGCTCTTTGCTGTAATCACCAGATCTTGGTCTCCTCCCAGTACCTGGCAGTTTCTGAGGATGCACCTGGGGGGGTCTCTGTACCCCATGGCACAGTGCCTCAAGAAGACCTGTGTGGGATGCTGTGGAATAGGGTGTGCTCCTCAAAGGGTTGTAAATGGTGTGGCCAAGCTTCAGGCAGGCAGTTGTGTGATGGTGTTGAGAAAAATATCTCTTCCTGTAGTTCTCTCTTGGCTTTTTTATGAGCTGCTTGGAGCGCTGACTTAGCGTTTGGCCCATGGATAGGATAGTTAAAGGTCATTATCTGGGCAAGGCCTGTGTGGTTTTGGGACAGGCTGTCAATCCCCCGGAAGGGGATTGGAGTTCAAGGTCCATTGGGGATGTATTGTCTGTGATAAGGGCAAGAGGAGTGGTAGTTCCTGGGAGGAACTACGATAATGTGCCATGGTGGGCAGTCTTGGGTTGGCACCATCAAGCCTGGTGCATGGGCAGGGACTTCCAAGGGAAATGTGCAAGTGACTGGGGCTGACTTGGGTGTGGTGGGAGCCCGAGTCTCCTGGAGATGGCAATCAGCCCTTCATTAGTAAAGTTTGGAGAAGGCCCCAGATCTTTTCATCAGGCCCTTAAAGTAGCAAGGGGCTGAGGCAGCAGCCACAGGAGAGGCTGAGCACTTGGCAGAGGCTGCTCTGCATGATGGAGGAGATGGGGTATGGTGGGCATGGCAGTGGGGAAGGACCCAGCACTCTCTCCTTCTGGGAGCCTGGGGATTTGAGCAACCTTCAGTCACCTTTCTGGTGGCCCTTTAGACCCCCAGCCTCACCATGCTCAACCCTACTCTTCCGAGGGCCATTTTGGGGCAGCTCCATAGGCTGGTGAGGTTGAGGCTCCTGTCCTCTGACCTGTCCCCTGTGGTTGCCTTGGCTAACCCCAAAGGGCTCAGTGCTCTCTTGTGGTTTCAAGGTGGGGTGAGGGTCTGGGCAGGCAAGGTGTGTGCCTTTATCTGGCCTCTTCAAATGCCCTCTGCCACCAGATTAAATGTTTTTGTACTTTGCTTTTTCATGTAAAAATAAAAATTAACACTGATATTTCCTTCTGACATTTAACTCAGTCAATAAGTGACAAATCGAATAAACATTCCTGTTTCACTGGGACAAAAGCTCCAAGATCCTGCTGCGACTAAAATGTTTCATCGTTTCCGAAGTCAAATGTTTCAGTTAGAGAGGAAAAAAAAAAGAACTAAAAATGATGCATTTCAATGTTTTTCTAATTATTTCCCCCATTTTGGCTGAAGCTATTAGACAAATTTGGCCCCACTTTGCAAATAGTTTTGGAAGCTTCCAAAACTTCTATTTTGGTGACTTTTCCCATCATTGATGAATAATAGCTTGATCTCTGCCCTGCTCACCAGCTGAGATCTCATTCACTCCCCTGTTCTCATCCTTCCAGGTTTGCTGCTTGGTCCTGCCCAGGTGGCTGGGGCCATGTCTATGCTGCATGGCCTTGCTGCTACTCACACCAGGACAACGCAAGGGGTGTCCCTGCCTTTTCCCATGCTGGGTGTAAGCTGAAAGGCATACGCATGTGTATTGGGTGTTCCTGCATGCACAGGCTGTGAGACTTGTGTTCTTCTGTGTCCTTCTCAGGTTTGGATGAAGCCTTGGTGCTACACAGTGGTGGTGAAGGATCTTCTCTAGAAGGCCCAGCAGTTCCACCGATGGCAAACCCAAGTTAATGCTCCCTTCTGGTCCCTCGTGGTCCCCAGCATGCGGTGTTTGCTGGATCCCAGGTGAGTGATGAAGCAGCTGGGTTTGGAGGAGGAAAATGAGCATCTTGCCCCCACAAAATGAGCTGGAGAATCTGCAGATGGGCTGGGGTCTTCTTTGTTGACTTTGTTCCCATGCCTGTTCTCTCTGCATGAGTCAGGCGAACATTATGTGTTGATTTTTTAGGGTCACAGATGGTTTTGTTTAGTTTATTAATCACACTTAGCATGGCCTGTGACTGCAGCAGGGTTGCTCCCAGTGGTGGGTACTGAGGAGAGAGAACTGCTGGCTTAAGCATGCCCTTCTGCTTGTCAGTGTGGACATTCCTGAGCTTTGACCGTGGTTTTCTTCTTGCAGTGGCCCTGGGAACTGCCCTGCCTGGGGACAGATGTTACCCTGGGGACAGTAGTGAGGCAGCAGAACCCCATCCCTCTGCTTGTGCATTGCCAGCCCAGGAAGGGCTGAGAATCTCAGTGCTGGTTTTATCCAAAGCCCTTCTAGCCTCTGGCTCTTTGAGTCTGTACTTTTTCCTCCTCTTCCGAAATACATGATAAGACTCATCTGTTTTAGGGGATCTGTTTCATTTTTGTGCCCCTCCAGACTGCCCAGTAGTGCCTCAGAGTGATCTGTGCCCATGTGGTGACTGTAGCCTTCCTGCACCTTCAGCTTGGCCACAGAGCACTTGCTTGGCTGGCATTGGTGCGACTTACAGGCTAGCTTGGCCCTTCTGCAAAAAAAGAGGAGTCATTCTCTCAAGTGAGCGGGGAAAGGCACATGAGATGGAAGTATTATCTGCAGAAAGTTTGTTTTTTTTTTTTTTTTTTTGAGATGGAAGGATGTTGCTCTTCCCTCCCACAGCAAAAGGCTTTGGTTTAGCAGTTGTAATGAATATTGTGAGCTTTAGGATGCTTACACAGGACAAACCACCCCTCTTGGCTCTCTGTTGTGCTTGAGCAGCTGCTGGCAGATCTGCTCGTGCAGTTGGAGGGTGAAGGACTTAGTGGTGCTGAGAGCAGCTGCTAGCTTCTTCCACATTGACCTTAGCAAGCCCTAGGGTGTGAAAAGTCCAGAAGAAAGCAAATGGACTTTGGCTGGGGTCTTGGAGCCTGAACATGAGCTGAGCTCCCAGAACTCGCTGTACTGCTAGGGAGTGAGGAGGCTGCAGTGTGTGCTATGAGAGCCCTGATGCTCTCCTTCCTGGACTGGAAGGCTCTGCAGCCTTCCAATATCCAATGGCTTCCCTGCCACCCCCTGTCCTCCCCAGCAGGGACAAGCTCTGCAGGCTGGCTCAGCTCTGCCCTGCCTGCACTACTGGCTCAGAGCATGTGCTCCCCAAATTGAAAAAGTCAAAGCCCTTGGCTGATTACAGCAGCTTTTGGCCAAGGGCAGATATGTACCGAGTACCAAATTCCTCTGAGTCCCTGGAGGTGGGTGGCTTGGTTTAGGACCCACATTTTCCCCCCTCTCCGGGAGGTCTCCTGCCCTTCAGTGAGCTCAGTGCGAGCACTGTGGCAGTGTGCTGCAGTGTTTATGGGGATGGGGGCAGGTGTGGGGTGATGTGGGGCCCTGCAGGGAGGAGCAGGGGTATGGAAGGTGTGTACACACTTAAGGGGCTATTACAGGTCAGTGCACAAGGGCTTCTCCCATTCCCAGCACAGCTTCTGCTCAGCAGAGCAACAGAGGGACAGGTTCAATGTCAAAAGGAGCAAGCAGCTTATGAAAGCACTAAGAATATAACCTTGCTTTAAGTAAATCCTTGAAAGCTACCCTAAAGTGAGTCAGGAGCAGGCAGACAGAGCCTGTTCATGCAGTTTTTGACCTACAAGGCAGATTGCTAACACAGGCACTCGAACAATGCACGCCCGTCCAGCTGTAAAACAGCTATGCCACAGAGTCATTCAGTTTTAAGAATAGGTGAAGGTTTTCCCAAAGCTTTAATTCAAGGAATAGCATTCCCTTTCCTGGGTGAAGGTAGGGTCGTGGTCCCTGAAGTGCTGTTGCAGAGCTCACTCCCCTGTGGTTGCCCCTGCCCCAGGAGGCTCTGGCTGTCTGCCTGCAGCTGCTGCATCCTACAAAATACTGATACCCCTCTGCTTCAGTGGCAGAGCCTCTGAAGTGCCCTTGGAATCCAGAGGCACTGGATTCTGGTGCTGGAAACACCTTTCCTGTGTGGAGTTGGGGTGCAGTGGGCTGTGTGCTTGCCATGAAAAGGGGTTATGAGCATGCTAGAGGAGTGGGTGCTGCAGGGCAGGGTGCAGCAATGCGGGGCTGTGAGGGGCAATCCTGCTCTGGTACCAGCTAGCCCCACTGTGTGCCCCAGTTTTGGGGCTGGGCTGTGGTGATGGGCTGCTGAAGGCACGTTTATCTCACCCTGCAGTCTTTGCTGCAGCTCCATTGCTGTAAAGGATAGGATGACAGCAGATTAAGATGCCACATGGCCAGATAAGCACTGATGGATCGCTAAGTGGAATGGTGTTTAGCAGGAGTAGTGGCACCTGCCGCAAGTCAAGCAGTGAGACAGACACTTGGCAAAGTCTCTGTCCTCAGGGGCTTGCTCCCAGATGACCTGATGTGGGAGAGCTAAAGCAAAAGGCGATTTTCCTGACTGCAGTCTGGGGGAGGAGTGCTTTGCATGCCTTCCCTTCTCCTCCAGTCTGGTTAACCATCACGCCCCTTAAATGCATTTTCCCATGAGCTGCCTCCGTGGCCTCATGTTGCTTTTCTCTCCTTTGCATTGGTGCAGCTGTTGGTGTGATTGTAGAGAACTGGTCTGAGGCACTGTTCTGGCTGCTCCTATTTGTGTTTCTCCTTTCCTGGGGCAGGAGCATTTACTTAGCAGGTGTTTCTGGAGCAGGCTGTGTTCTGTGGTCTGAGCTAAGCTGCCTGCAGCCTACAGAACTGAAACAGAGTACAAGTGCTAAATAACCCTGGCTCATTCTGTTGCATCTCCTTCCTCTGCTGTATTATAAAAGCCCTAATTCCTCCTGCTAGGTAATCTCCAAGCTGTTGAGGTTGATACATGTGTAGAAGAGCTTAGACAGTTGTTTGCAGCTCAAATACTATGTGGGAGTTGAGAGGCTTGGGTTTTATTCAGAGCTCTGTTGCTTTCTTCCACAGTTTTGCAGCCTTAACCACATGCAAAGAATAAAATGCCTGAGCAGGAGCCTGGACTGTTGATATCCTCCTGGGTGGTATATTCTTTCCCAGTCTCAGAGAAGGTGGGACAACTTTGAAAATGACATGAACCGGGAAACCCCCTGCTTTCCCTGAGGGGGAATACTTCACTTCCATGGACTTAAAATTTTAGACTCGGTTCTTGTGATTTCCTTTGACCTATGCCAGCTCTGTGCCATTGTGAGTCCAAGGATTTTTCAGCCAGCAAACTGCCTCAAATTCATTGCTGCTGTAGAGCTTAGGTTGCTTCTGACAATGTTTTACTCTATGGCCCTGCAGCTCCTGCCACAGCAAGGCCCCACTCTTGTTTTGAGTGTCAGGACACTAATGCGATGTAACCAGAAGCCCCCAGATTTGCCCTCCCCACCCTGCAGCCTCTTGCTGCGGAGCAGTGGAGGCTTGGGCTGGTTGCACGCTGTGCAGCCGCAGTGGTTACAGCTGAATTCTTCTGCGTGGTGTGCTGTACGGTGTCTGCTGCACAGTGATGAGTAATAGTTGCCAGTCCCTATCCATCAAGCATAATTAGTTCTATTTTCTAACGAGCCTTCAGACTGCTCAAGTGGGAGCTGAGAGGAAGACTGAGCACCTTGTCAATGGGCACTTCTTCCAGGAAGGAGGAGAACCATGAGCCTTTTCCACAATGCCTGCTTGCAGAACTGGGACTGTCTCCAGGGCGGGTGGCAGCATCCCAGGGCCTGGAGCAGCAAGCATCAGGAGCCCAAACGCCTGCTCAAAAAGGAGAAAAGCCCCAGGTGGGTGGTGAAAACTGTAGGGGCCAGGATGAAATTAGGTAATCGCTGATGCTTTGTGCTCTTCTGTGCCAGTGTGTTTGGTGCTGTGGTCCTGCCCAGTGACCTAGGTTCCTGCCTATGCCTCTCATAAACAGTGGCATCATGGGCAGATCTTATCGTGTTTTTCCTTGAAGTGGCTGTGGTTTATTTTTCCTGAGAAAGGATTTGTTTTTTAGAAGATATCAATTAAAATCTGAAGCTGTTCCAGAGAGGGTGTTGGTTGGATGAGTGTATTTTAATAGTTTTTGTTGGTTTTGACATTGTTGACACATCCATTAGGCAATGTACCAAGGAAAATGGGGAGGGGTTAGACTAAAGCAACTCTGTCTTTTGAAATGTCCATTAATCTCCATTTATATAAGGACACTTTTTTCCAGAGGTTGCAATTAAGGCATGTTCCCGTTGACCTGGTAAGTTGCCCCTCTCCCCCTGCCGCCCCCCCCCCCCCCCCCGGTCTCTGATTTAGTGCTTTGACAAAATGTTCTGAATTTGGCTTTTCCTGTGATTTGGAGTTTGGTGAGCTGTGTGTGCTTTATTTTATTTTTTTTAGGAGAGCTGCATCTTGCAGGGTGAGAATTGTCCCTTCACTGCTGGACACATATTGGCTCAGTTCTGTAAGGGGCCCTGCACATACTCAATGTGTGCTGCTGATCCTTTGTCTTTTGGCTCTTGTTCCTCACCTTCTTGGCCAGGGCTTGTACCCTGTTGCACATACTGTGGTAGCATGGAGCAGCTCCATGTAGGCTCTGCAGAATTTACTCTTCTTCCCATAAAGTTCCTGCTGCCAAAGAAAAACTGGCAGAAAAAACTCACTTCAGCTTCTATCTTGCCTGGGAATCAGCACTGTTGCTGCTCAGGTTGGAGCACCCATCTTTGACCTGTGTGCCCAAACTCAATAAATCAGTGCCCTCACATGGAGTAAAAACCAATGAGTCCTGATCCTCCAGGTGTTGCTTTTTCTCAGGACAAGTTTTGAGTGAGGGTGACTTTACTGTCTTACTTTGCTGTCTTGAGGCTCTGGCTGGCAAGCATAATTAACATGGACTGGGGTTTGTAATTTCTGGCACAGAAACAGCATTAATGGATTTGTTCAGTTCCCTTTTATCAGCCTTCCCAGCCTGCCTTTTATCTCAACACTATGGGGGAGGGCTGAGATGGGATTAAAAGAATGTGAAGGCCTGATAAATGAAGATCAAAACCTAAGAGCTGGAGCAGATCAATGCAATTCTTTACGATGGACCTGCAGAGAGCTTGTAGGGCTGACTGAGTGGACTGCAGCCCTGGGGAATGAGGCTGCTGTGGGATGGTGCAGGAGCTCAGGGACCCCAGAGGAATACATCGTGAAACCTGTTGGGTTGGGTGAAAGTGGAGATCATGTCAAGGCCTTTTGCTTCCTGCAAATCAATCTTATGCTTCTGTTTTCCTGACTCAACAGATTGCAGTAGTGCTGATTAGCATCTTGTCTGGATGAAACTTTCCCAGGCTTTGCAGCACTTTAAGAGTTGCTGGTGCATCCTGTATCTAAAGAAGCCACTTGTGTTATCTGTGTTCTTCTGCTCCCAGAGGTGGACCCTGGTATGTGGAATATCAACCTCTGCCCCTGGAGGAGCTGTGGATGGAGCTGGGATCTGGAGGAAGGAGAAGGCAATGGACCACATGGCTATTTGGTGTGGGGAGAAGGATGCAGCAGAGCTTGGAAACTCCTCCAAACCACCTATCACACCTGAGAATGTCAAGGGAGTAGAAAACAGGTCTTATGGGAGGAGGTTTCTCTGCACTTGGAGCAACATCATGAGGGTGACCATCATCCTGCATGCTGGGCAAGCTGGTGTCTCTGTATGGACCCTTATCCTCATGGACTTAAGGGTAATGTGTGCTCACAATGGGATTTGCAGGCAGCTTTGTTGCCTTCCTGCCTCAGAGGCAATGACCAAAGCTCCAAGATCAGCGTGGGGACACTCATCAGTACGTGTTGTGGCTTTGTGAATTTTGCTTCTGTGGCTTGGTTCCAGCAAGGCCACTGACACTGGAGCTGGCTTGTCCAAAAACCCAGCCAGGAGCCAAGACCCTACTTCTCAAACTGGCTCCTGCATCAGAGGTTATGTTTCTGTCTTCCTGCACACCAGCTCTTTCACCTCTGCTTGGAAGCTCTGAAAAGCTTCCCGGGAGGTTCTTGGGGCCCCTCTTTTGTTGCCAGCCCTGCCCTCACTTGTTCCTTTTTCCGTACCCTTTTTCAGGCTTCTGTTTAACATGCACCTCTGCAAAAACCAGAGAAGAGCTTTCTCTTCACCTGACACTGGCTGCTCATCTTTGCTCGGACTCTTTCCCCCACTGTTGCCTTTTCCTTCCCCAAATTCCCTCCTTTAATTTGCTTTTGCTTATTTTGAATACAAAGCTCTTCCATCACAGTGTTTATAGTTGGCAAAGCCTTGGACCTATTGCTTAATTCTCCTTCCTACATCCCTACTTAACTGCCAGGGCTCCCTGTGCTCTTTCCCTGCTTCCAGAGCACCCAGGATGGATCCCAATGCCTGTCCCCAGCTGTCTGCTGTGTGGTTCCCATATCCTGGCAGCCCAGTTCCCAAGCACTGCCCTGTCACGCTCACCAACTCCTCCTCTTTCTCATCTCTGGAAACCTGCTTTTTTTTCTTTATTTTTTTTTCCTGGAGCTGGCAGCAGATGTCTTTGCCTATCTTTTTATTAGCTGTCCTTTCTTCTCTTTAGCCCCAGAGCAGCCTTGAGCATGATCTGTCTTCCCCAGTGCCCAGCAAGGGGTGGTGAAGGGTGCAGGTATCCCCTGCTCAGTGCACTGCCACACTCTGGCACTGCTGCTCTCTGGCACCAGCCTCATCATCCTGACACCAAGTAAATGTCAACAGCTTGCCTCGTGTCTGCTTCTCCATATCAGATTTGCTCATGGCTTCCCCTTGTCTCTCCCCAGAATAGGCTGTGCTGCTCTAAAGCATGGCTGCCCAGTTCCCATCTTTGCAAGGACGTGGTGAGGAATGAGTGCTGTCTGCATCCCAGCTCTCTTTCCCTCTGATTGCTCCTGGTCCAGGGGAGGCATTTGGTGAACTGAGTCACGGAGCCACAGCCTGTGTCCAGGAAAGTGGAGCGATGCTGCCGTGTCAGGGATTTGCGTGACAGTGGGGACTGAGGCCAGCGAAGTGTGAGCATGCACTGAGCAGTTGACAAGTGGGATGTGGGCAGCAGATCCCTGAGACATGAGGTCGGGCTTGTCCCAGGCCCATCAGAACAGGAACCGGCCAGGCCAGCCCAAAATAGACTCCTTGTCAGAGTTTCCACCAGGCCTCAGGGGCTCCTTATCTCCTCACTGCTGCTCCTGCGCAGGATGAGCTGTGGACAAGAGGCCTCAAGGAGCAATGTTGCCCTTTTCACCAGAGCTTCCTGTTGCGTGGGGCCCTCATCCCATAAAGTAACGGCCTCTCATTAGCAGGACTAATTAGGTGGGAGCAAAACCTGCCTAGGATTATGGGATGGGGGGTGTGTGGGGGGTGAAGGAGGCTGGGTTTCACTGCTGCTTTCAACAGTGCCTAATTGACAGGGGCAGCCCAAGCACCCCTGAGGTCTGTGGTCCTCCTTCTCTGTAAAAGTGTGTAAGGCTGTTAACACAGTCTGCCACAACATCCTTTTCTCTGAATTAGAGAGGGACGGCTTTGAAGGGTGGACTTCTTCAGTAGGTAAGGAATTGGCCCTGGCAGTGCCCAAGGCCAGGCTGGAAGGGGCTGGGGACAGCCTGGGCTGCTGGAGGGGTCGTGCCCATAGCAGGTGTGGAGGAGGCAATCTTTAATGTCACTTCCAACCCTAGCCATGCTGTGATTCTTGCTGGGAAGCAAACCCAGCCACTATTGCACCTGGGGGGGAGGGCGGCCATCTCACCACACTCCCCCTGAGCCCCACAGAGCCTGGCCCTGCCCCGGCATCACCACGCTGTAGCCTGGGGATCTCTGGCAGTGTGACCTCCTGGTGCTTCCACCAGTGCTCTCTTGGCCCTGCAGGATTTCCTGACGGCCTTAACAAGCCCCCCGGGGGCAATTAGTTCTCTGCTTTATTACATGCCTGGTTTTTCTCAACAAAGGTGTCGTGTTGGGGCGGTGCTGGCTGTGCAGCCACCTCCCAGGAGAAGGGAGGTGGTGGGGCAGGAGGGACTGTGTGAGCTCTGCACCCACCCTGCTTCCTCCTGCCATGGTCTTGCATGAGCTGTGATGTGCAGTGGTAGGGATCGGCCCTGCAGCACCCATCCTGGTGCTCCCCCTGCGAGTCCTGAGCTTGAGGTTGAGCCTGCTTCCCACCCCCAGTATCCTAAAGTCCTGGAGTAAGAGATTACAGAGAGGATCAGATATAAACCTTTTCTGCTGCAGTAAATTGTGGTTTTCAGTGCTGCCAACTCTACCAAAAGGAGAGACAGCATAGACAGGCATTTCCTGAGAACTGTAGCAACATTGCTGACCCCAATTATTTCAACGTGATAAATCACTGCCTCTCCCCAATCCGTCATAAACTGCCTGGTTGTATTAAAAACCAAGCAGGTTAGAGAGGAAATAATGAGCATCCTTTTTTGTTGACATTAGTTCTAAGGCTTTTGGGGTGATAATTCTGCGGTTCTCTCTATGACCCCAAGTATTCGTAAATGTCACCTAGAGGTGTGGGATCACTCTGGAAACTGAAGCTTTCAGATTGACTCTAAAAACCCCAACACCTTTGCACATTTGTGAGGGCTTTGGTCAACAGCATGAATTGCTTGAAGTGGGCTCAAAATGAGTTGTGATTTTTATTTTACAGAAGGGGAAATTGAGATGCAGAAGGGTTGTTTTTTACTGTAGGAAGCAAGGATCCCTGGGGCTCTGTGGGTGCCTGGCCCATTTGGGCTCCTTGCTTGCTGCCTGTGCTGGAGTGGATGCCACAGGTTCCCGATGCAGGTGCTGGATCTGCAGCAAAGGTAATCCATCCTCTGTGCCAGAGAGAACCAAAAGGAGAAGCTGATGCTGCACAGCTACTTAACTGAGATTTTTGAATAAATAAAGCTTGTTGTTTTGTACAGGTTCTGATATCTTTCGCTTTAATAGACCAGTCCATGTGCAGTCTTGCAGAAAACACTCTAAGTGTTACAGAAATCTACATGGAGGAAAAGATTATTGAGCAGCTCCACTCGGAATGACAGGGCTTTTTTTTTGTCTTTTCTTTTCCCCTTGTAGTTCATACAATCTGCTAATGGTTTTTGCTGACAGATATTTATCAACCTGAACATGCTTTCCCTGGGCTTGGAAAAATAGAAGTCCTTACTTCTGACCCCAATAAAAAAAAATCAGCCCAATATCCCTGAACGAGCTAGTATGAATATCAATCCTTCTCTTGGCATCTTAGCTCTGGGAGTCGTTAAGAGTAAAATGGCAAAAGCAGAAAGCAAAGCCACCCAAGGTTAGAAACAGGCCTGACTTTTATTATTATTTTCATTTAGAAATTTCATACATTTAATGAGCTGAGGGCATAGTGTGCTAATGGTGTCCCAAGGGCTGGGTGCAGAGCACTGGTGTGTGTGTGGGGGGGGGATTTGGGGACAGGTACCAGATCCCATGCTGTGGCAGCATCACTGCCTGGTCCCTGTGAGTCATGCTTAGGACCCAGCTCAGCATTCTCTGCTCTGTTGCCCATCCAAAGGAATTTCACTGAAGGAAAGGAGACTCAGCAGCCTGTTGGTGGCTGCTCCACATGCATCCCTCCCTGCCTGGCAGCCAGTCCTTCCTTCACACCCTGCTTGCAACCCTCTGGGTTTGATTTGCTCCTCTTCTGTACCAGCTTAGGGTGTTGAAAGCTGTGAGATGCTGCTCTCCATCAGGAGTGCAGTTGGACATTCTTTCTAGTGCTAATGAGAATGAAGATTGATGAACTCTCCTGTCCTCCCCAGCAATGCCAGCAGACACAGGGCTCGCCCCATTCCAGTTCTGTGAGCGCTTAATGGTTCTGAGAATTACTGCATTGAAATTTTACAATGAGGGCCTGCTGGTTTGTGAGTTTTGTACGTCTAGGGAGTCCAAACAGGTTTGTAAAAGCTCTCCCTCACTCTCTGTATATATGAATACACATATACATATTTATATATTACATATACATGCATGTGTGTGTATATTGTAGAATCATATGGACTAAAAGGAAATCAGCCCCTATTCTGTTGCTCAAGGCTGGGATCTGCTCATTCTCTTTTGTGCATTTCATGCCAGATATTAGGTGTGAATTATATTTGGAACAAAAATTCTCATTAAATTAGTGTTCATGAGCTACTGGGGATCTTTGGCCACTGTCTTGCTCAGGAAATAAAATTATCTCATGAGAATTGCCGGGTGAAGGAAGCCAGCTCTCACCTCTGTTGAGTAGCGAGAAATATGTGGAAGAATGTGGGGTTGCTGATGAAGAGGGAGGTTTGGCTGGTTTAGCCAGGATAGGTAGCTTCAAAGCTTCCTTGGGCTGTTTTTAAGTGGGAATTGAAGGCACAAGGCTCCAAGACACCTCCAGCCTGCTGAGGGATCTTGCTCTGGTGGCTCAGCTGATGGGCTGGGGATGCCTCCTGCACAACCCCAGCACAGCTGCAGGACCCTTTCCATGGCTAAGAAAATCCAAATGGTAATGAATCCAATGGAGGGTGAGAGCTGTGTTTTTGGCCAATTCAGAGGCATTGGCCTGGGTGCTGGGCTGAGTCTGGCCACTGTAGCGTCTTGTAAACTGTGCTCTGCCTGCCAGCCCTCTGCTTCCCTGCGTGCTCTCTCATTGCCGTTCTCATTTCTCAACGTCACACACTTCATTTGTTTCTGTCCAGGCGCAAGCTTTCAGGATGCAAGAGCGATTTATCCCCGCAAACTGGTTTTCCAGTCCCGGGTCTCCCTGCTGTTACAGGAGCAGTGGGGTAAATCAGAAAATCAGTCCCTAGATGAGCTCCAGCAGCAGACACATGCTGCGGAGCTCTGCAGGCAGCCTGGGGAGGGGAGGAAAGAGGTACAGCCGCTTCTAACCCTGCTCTGCAAACACAACTGGGCTCAGCAGCACCTCTGCTCACCCGTGCGTCTCTCTACATGCTTTGCGCAGGCTCAGGAGTGACAAGGACTGGGGAATCTTTAGCGATGTATTATTTGAAACACACTGGCTTTCACTGCGAAGTTTCAATTGTGGTTTTGTAGGGCTGGGCTGAGCTTATTGAATTTAAATTCAAGGCAGATTTCATCCGCTCATGTGGAATGAAGGCTAGATCATTGCCTCCCTGCTCGGAAATGAGCCCTGGCTGTGCAGAGCTGCACCAAGGGCCTGGCCCCAGCTCACTGGGCTGCTCTGGTAACAGATCTGCCTCTTGGCTGGGTGCCAGACGGCTGGGATGTCAGTGTGTTTTGTGTTTGCAGTAGCTTCTGGATGTGGGAAAGAACAAAAGGCTGGTGAGGGAACCTGGAGCCGAGCAGGGCTTTGTCCTCTGCGCCTCAGATTTTGGCCGGGTGGTAAAGGTCCAACCCTTGACCACCACGAAGTCTGCTCTGTGTTCCTGAGGGCAGCCGTGACTCACTTGAGGCTCTCATGGGTAAATGCTGGGACTCAAAGCCCACCACACGGCCATATCCTGACCTTGCTTTATTGTGAAACTGCTGCAGCCATGGTATGCAGTTGAGCCTGAGCAAACCTCAGGTCTTGTTTCAACTGAATTGGGAACCTCTGCAGATGGTCCCAGCTGGGTTGAAATCCAAGTGGATAAGGAAGAGCAGTGTAAAATCTGTTCTGTAGATGTGGCCTCAGAGTCTCCTAATGGGAGCAAGGGAACCTCAGTGCTGGAATTGCTTGACATCAGAGTGGACAAGCTTCTGGGGAGCTTGTGGAGCAAAGCCTTGCTGCCTGGGCTTTGGTTTGACAGCAGCGGGTGAGGCTTTCCCTGATGCTTGGCAGTTGTCAGGGCAGCAGGTTTTTGCTCTGGACTTCAACAGACCAGCAAGGCTGCTCTGTCTTGATCCTTGTCTTTTCTTCCAAGAGAAGAGGAACCCACCTAGCACTGGAGGTGCGCAGTGTGCATGCTGTTGTGCCAGCAAAGGAAAGCAAGCACGGGAGAGTCCTGGGGCAGGATTTCTTGCTGCTGCAGATAAAGGAGAAGCAGGAAATCTGCCCAGAGGGGAGAGATGGGGGCTGCTGTCTGGGGATTGCAGAAGTCACTGTTCTGTGCCTGCAGGACAGGGCCGTGCTGGGCTTGGCATGAAGCCCCATGACCCAGGGCTGCAGGGCAGGGCCAGCAGGTTGGAGGTGTCAGCACTGACACCTGCTCCCTGTGCATCCTGCCCTTTCTTCTCCAGTGGGTCTGGAAGCCTTGGTTGGTGTCATCCAGGACAGCGGTTAGCACAGCTCTGAGCTGCAAGCATTGGATGGGCCCCTTGCCTGCAAGCCTCAGTGGTGGTTTCTGCTCCGGTTTCTATTAAACCTCTGTGGTTACGTGTTCATGCTATGCAGCGAGGGGTGGAGACTTCAAAGCCAAGATAAATAGTCTTGGGGTCTGGCCGGGGCTCTAGGAAAACAGAGCATGCAACGAGAAATTTGCTTAATGAGTTATCCGTTATCCGGCAGCGCTGCCTGTGAGCGGGGCTCAGCCACGGTGTGAGGGCCGGCTGGGCACCAGCAGGGCCACCTTCCCTGTCCCCATCCTGCAGCCTCAGATGCTGGCAGCTGGTGCATGGGGTGGGGGGTCTGGGACCACGGGTTTCCCTGGGTCGCCTTCACCCCATTTGCTCCTGACTGACGGCAGTGGGTCTGGATGAGGCTCATTCAGTGACCTGGGCTCTGCTTCTTGCTGGGTGTTGTTCCCCCACTGTGCCGTCGATGCTATTCCTTCCCCACCTGGTCCTTGTCTGTGCCGCAGTGAATTTCCACTGTGCCACCGGTGCAGGTGTGGGTGTGAGCAGCGAGGAATCCCCGGCCTTTGCTTGGACAAAAGCCAGGTGGCGCCTGTGCCCCAGCGTCGCAGTGCATGAATGTGCACTAGAGGCTGATCTCTGCGTCCTTGTGCCCAGGCAAGTTTGTGTCTTTTAGCACAGGTATGAGGGCAGCAGCTATGTCAGTCCTTGCAGCTAGAGCTGGTGATGAGCAAAAAAGCCGGATAATCTGCCATCACCTTGAGAAACAGCTCTGAGGTGCTCGGCTCCCTTGATCCTCTCCTTTTGGCCAAGGAGAGGGAATAATCCCAGAAACAGCCAGCACCTCTGAGAATACAAACTACAGTCCATCTGTTGGCGCACCCCTTTGTTATTTATTCATTCTTCTTCCATTAGCAAATGTCTTCAGTAGCACAAGAACTGGAGGGAAGCCTCCGTGGCAGAAGAGCCTCCTGCCTTCAGCCTCATTCCTCCATGCAGGCAGCCAGTGCCTGTGGGCACTGGCCCCTTTGACTCCAACTGAGTCAAGAGTGGCCCCTTTGACTCCAATTCCATAAGAACTGGCCAGCCCATGCGAGGAAGCAGCTGCAGCTCATGGCCAGTGCAGCTTGCCCTCCAGGCATCAGGAAGGATCAACTCTGATCCTTCTGGCCTTCGGCATCATCACTTCCATGGCCATAAGCAGCTCCAAAATTTCTATCCTGACCTGCATGGTTACCTTTAGCAAGGCTTAAGGTCCACCAGGGATGCCTTTCGCTCATGGACCACATGTGGGGGCTTGCTGTTTGTCAGGGGCTAGGGGGGCACGGCACAGTACGGCACCCGGCTTCCAGTCACGCTGCGGGAAGTCTCCAACTGGGAAAATACAAACTCGCTGCTGAATGTTTTAGGTCCATTTCCCTGGCTAGCATGAGCAAACAAGCATCTGCTCATTTTAATCCCCGTCTGTATGGAGCAAGGATGTTGCTGTTCATTGTCCAAACAGAGTTTTTGCAAAGGAAGGAAAGTAAAAATCAAGATAAACGTGTTACTAATGGCGAATCCTTTGAGAAAGCCAAACTCCATTAAAGGAGCTGCAGTGGCAGGAACCTGGTGGTGTCTGCATGGCCCAGAAGCACCCTCAGCTCCAACTTCAGCACATCCTGAGCTG